GCATAAAAAAACATTGAGTGTGGTGTTTGATTTCCATTCAAAGCCCATCCCCAACCAGCAGCATTACACAAGCCCCAAACAAAAGTGCTACAAATCTGCCATGGTTGCCTTGAGGCAACAAACCTAAAGTGCAGTTTTTGTTTATATATTGGAAAAAAAAAACATTTTTTAACAATCAAATATGCCTTCTTAACATATTACTTGCACAGTCACATATTTTTTTTATCCTAGGTTTTCAATTTAAGACTTGTAGAAAAGTTATATTTATCCTTATCTTGTTGGCACTGTGTTCACTGTGACTCTGCTTCCTGAAGGACTGCTCTCTCTGCCACACCAGACAATTGCCCACCATCCCACTTAGAACTTGATTTTATTGGACAGATAACATGTCTATAATTTTTAAATAATAAATTAAAAAAAAACATATGGGTACCAGGTCTTGTACAGAGCCAATAGATTCAAAGTTTGGTTGTTGCCCTCGCAGGGCAAACAGTATGCCATACAGGCCAGTATACATCATGAATTTGCATACTGGGCAGCCAACAACTGTGATTCTATGTACTTTGAATGATTCTGTTGTTAAAGTGAGTTCATGCAGAAAAACACTTGAAACGCTTTTAAACAGGCCGAACACATCATGAATTGCTTACTGGCAGCCTAACATAAATGTTGATTCTATGTATTTGAAGTGAATTCGTTGTATAGTGGAATTTCATGCTAGCATACACTTGAAAACGCTTTAAAAACAGGCCTGAAACATCATTGATGATTGGCATACTGGCAGCAAAAACAAACTGTGATTCTATGTATTTTGAACTGATTCTGTTGTAATCGTGAATTTCATGCAATCCACTTGTAACGCTTAAAACAGGCCAGAAACATCATGAATTGATACTGGCTGCAATACAACTGTAATTCTATGTTTGAGTGATTCTGTTGGTAAACCGTGGAATTTCATGCTAGCAAACCACTTGATACGGCTTAATACAGGCCAGAAACTTTCATTCGAATGATTACTGGCATTCCAACAACTGTATTCTATGTATTTGATCTGTTTTGTTGTAAAGTGTGAATTTATTGCAGCCAAACCATGGAAACGCTTAAAAAACAGGCCAGATACTCATGAATTGCTTACTGGCAGCAACAAACTGTGATCTCATGTATTTGATGTGGATCTGGTGTAATCGTGAATTTCATGCAGCAAACCATCTTTTGAAACGCTTAAAACAGGCCAGAAACATTTCTTGAAATTGACATATGGCTAGCCAACAACTAAGATTCTATGTATTTGGGAACTGCTTCTGTTTGTAAAAGTGAAAATTTCATGCAGCATAACCACTTGAAGCGCTTAAACAGGCCCAGAAACATCATTGATTGCATACTGGGCAGCCAACAACCGGTGATTTATGTATTTGAAGTGAGTACTGTTGTAAGTGTATTTCATGCAGCTAAACCCACTTGAAAAACGCTTAAAACAGGCCTGGAATCATCCATGAATGCATATCTGGCATCCAACAACTGTGATTCTATGTATTTGATCTGATTCTGTTGTAAAGTGAATTTCATGCAAGCAAAACCCTGAAAGCTTAAAAACAGGCCAGAAGATATATACATCTTGAATTGGCATTTAACTGGCAGCCAACATACTGTTGATTCTATGTATTTGAAGTAAGTGATTAATGTTGTAACTGTGAATTTCATGCAGCAAACCACTTGAAACGCTTATAACAGGCCTGAATACAATCATGAATTGTATAATGGCACAAAACTAAGGATTATATGTATTTGAACTGATTCTGTGTAAAAGTGATTTTCATGCAGCAAACCACTTGCTAGCGCTTAAATCAGGCAGATAAATCATGACACACACACACACACACACACAGACAGGCCACACACACACACACACACACACACACAGACACACACACATACACACACACACACATACACAGAGACACACATACAGACACACACACACACACAGACACACACACATACACAAACACACACAGACACACACACACACACACACACACACACACACACACACACACACACACACACACACACACAGACACACACACACACACAAACACACACACACACACACACACACACACACACACACACACACATGTTGATTGGCGCCTGCTGTCGAGGGTTTTGAGGTGTTTGCTCAGGATTTATACGATGTTATGAATTTGGAAGTTGATGTTTACTTTAAGAGATGGTTCTAAATCACTACAGCGCTCGTCTGGGAGGACAAAGTTGTTAATTCGCCAACAACAGATCAGAGAATCCAACAGTTTAAAAACAGGAAATGCAGTAATGACAAACACACGGAGGCATTGGTCCATAAGGCGCGGCAGCAGACTCCAAGACCGGACAAACAACCTAACCAAACGCTAAGTTGAAAAAGAGTGCTTTAAGCCTGGCCTTGAATGTGGAGACCGTATCTGCTTCCTTAACATAAATGAAGCTGATTCCACAGTAAAGGAGCTTGGAGCTAAATGCTCTGCCGCCAACAGTGATTTTTGAGACCTTAGGGACCACCAGACGTCTGGCGTTTTGTGAGCGCAACGCTCGACTGGGTTGATACGACACCAACGTGTCTTGGAGATAAGAAGGAGCCAAGCCATTTATGGCTTTATATGTTAAGAGAAGGATTTTAAACTTTATTCTGTACTCCACAGTAGGTGACAAAGGCGTGAATACGTTTTTCCGCGTCACTTTTAGGAAGGAAGTTCCTAATTTTAGCGATGTTCCGTAAGTGGAAGTACGCCGTTTTAGTTGCTTGGCTTATATAAGCCTTGAAGGAGAGTTCTTGGTCAAAAATGACTCCAAGATTCCTCACAGTGTTACTGGGTATTATACTGACATTATCGAGAGTAACCATCTGGTTAGTGAGGGAGTCACGCAGGCGCTTCGGACCGAGTAGGATCACTTCTGTCTTCTCCGGGTTGAGAAGTAGGAAGTTAAGAGTCATCCACATTTTAAGGTCCTTTATGCAGCACTGAGCTTTTCTAGCTGATCTGTCTGATTAGGCTTCATCGACAGATAAAGCTGGGTGTCATCTGCAGCAGTGGAAATTAATTCCATGCTTTTTAATAATGTTTCCTAACGGCAGCATGTAGAGAGTAAAAAGAATCGGTCCGAGTACCGAACCCTGCGGCACACCGAATTCCACTCCAGAGTACGGTTTTATATGTGTGTGTGTATGTATGTCTGTATGTGTGTGTGTGTGTGTGTGTATGTGTATGTATATATGTGTGTATGTATCTATATGTATGTGTGTGTGTGTGTGTGTGTTTGTGTGTTTCTGTATGTATATGTGTGTCTATATGTATGTGTGTGTTTATATGTGTGTGTGTAAGTAAGTAATCTTTATTTATATAGCGCCTTTCACAGACCAGAATCACAAAGCGGTTTACAATTGTTATTTTTTGGGCATTAGTCTCTCACTCCACACAGAGATGGGAGGGGCCAGTACAGGAGGCACATGCCAGATCTATTGTACATATTTTTAGTGGTAGGGGAAACTGGAGTACCCGGAGGAAACCTACGCAGACACGGGGAGAACATGCAAACTCCACTCAGAAAGGCCCTGGTCCGGCCGGGATTCGAACCCAGGACCTTCTTGCTGATGTGTGTGTGTCTATATGTATGTGTGTCTATATGTATGTGTATGTGTGTGTGTCTATATGTATGTATGTGTGTGTCTATATGTATGTGTGTGCGTGTGTCTCTATGTATGTGTGTGTGTGTCTATATGTGTGTGTGTGTCTGTATGTGTGTGTGTGTCTGTGTGTGTGTGTGTGTCTGTATGTATGTGTGTGTGTGTCTGTATGTGTGTGTGTGTGTGTGTGTGTGTCTGTGTGTGTGTGTCTGTATGTATGTGTGTGTGTGTGTGTCTATATGTGTGTGTGTCTGTATGTGTGTGTGTGTGTCTATATGTGTCTTCCCACAATACTCTGGTTATTTTAAATCCGCATGGACCTGATCCAGCAGAGACTTTGGAACGAGGAAGTTAATCAATAAATGTGAGGGAGTAATATCTGCTTCAACCTTGGTCCCCACAAGTCCCAATGAGTCAGTGTCTATGTGGGCCGAGAACCAAGAACATAAATCATCACATCTGAAACCAGACGCTGCGATTGTGCATCGATTTCTTTGCTTTAGGCCCTTCTTTAAAACTGTTTGGAGAAACTGAAACATCAGACTAGCGGAAAAAAGGACTTCGTCATAGTTTAAAGTCCAGGAGAGGCGTGTGTGTGTGTGTGTGTGTGTGTGTGTGTGTATATGTACGTATGTATGTGTTTGTGTGTGCGTATATTTATGTGTGAGTGTCTGTGTGTGTGTGTGTGGGGTGGGTGTGTCTGTGTCTGTGTCTGTGTGTGTGTGTCTGTATGTGTGTGTGTGTGTGTGTGTGGGTTAGCGTGTGTGTTAGTGTGTGTGTTAGTGTGTGTATATGTATGTAAAAAAGGACATTGTTCCGCGAACCACTTTTGAACAATCCTGTCAAGTTGTTTTCGAGAGATAAGACATTACGTTAGCATTACATAACATTAGCATTGGCTAATTCTTGTTCCAGGTCCACCCCCACAGGCCCGGGGTGGTATAGCAGCATGTCAGCGAACGTCGTTTTGGACATTTTGAGCCGGGACCCGCCCCCACTGCATCCTCCTCAAGATAAAATGTAAATGGTTTTATGGAGTCGAAAGGTGGACTTTGGAGGAACCGCTGTAGGTCTAATGTTTGGCATAATCTAAGCAGAAAAACCATGAGATAAATAAAAAGAGTGTATTTATGTCAGGGTAATGTATTGATATAAAAATAGGTGTTTCCTGCAGAGTAGGTTTCACAGCCTCACTCTCCTCTGTTTTATTTGTGCTAATCTCTCACATTAGCAGTGACAAAGCTGCAGGACAAATCAATTTACAGCCTCCGGAGGCAGCGGCGTTCATTCTGTTTCATTAAAGGCTTACGCCGCTTTACAGATGTCAAAGCCAAGTGCTGCTGTCAGAGCGAGAGAGACCAGAGAGACGGGAGAGAGACGAGAGAGAGACGAGAGGGAGATACGAAAGACGAAGGAGAGACGAGAGAGACAAAAGAGAGACGAGAAGGACGAGAGAGAGATCAGTCTCTCTCTCGTCTCTCCCTCCCTCTCTCCCCCTCCCTCTCTCCCCCTCCCTCTCCCCTCCCCTCCCCTCCCTCTCTCCCCCTCCCTCTCTCCCCCTCCCTCTCCCCTCCCTCTCCCCTCTCCCTCCCTCTCCCCCCCTCTCCCCCCCCTCTCTCTCTCCCCTCCCCCTCCCTCTCCTCTCCCCTCCCCTCCCTCTCTCCCCCCCTCTCCCCCCCCCTCCCCCCCCTCTCTCTCCCCTCCCCCTCCCTCTCCTCTCCCCTCCCCTCCCTCTCTCCCCCCCTCCCCCCCCCCTCTCTCTCCCCTCCCCCTCCCTCTCCTCTCCCCTCCCCCTCCCTCTCCTCTCCCCTCCCCTCCCTCTCTCTCCCCCCCTCTCCCCCCCCTCTCTCTCCCCTCCCCCTCCCTCTCCTCTCCCCTCCCTCTCCCCCTCCCTCTCTCCCCCCCCCTCTCCCCTCCCCTCCCCTCCCTCTCCCCTCTCCCTCCCTCCCTCTCCCCCCCTCTCCCCCCCCTCTCTCTCCCCTCCCCCTCCCTCTCCTCTCCCCTCCCCTCCCCTCCCTCTCTCCCCTCCCCCTCCCTCTCCTCTCCCCTCCCCTCCCTCTCCCCCTCCCTCTCTCCCCCTCCCTCTCCCCTCCCCTCCCCTCCCTCTCCCCTCTCCCTCCCCTCTCCCCCCCTCCCTCTCCCCCCCTCTCCCCCCCCTCTCTCTCCCCTCCCCCCCTCCCTCTCCTCTCCTCTCCCCTCCCCTCCCTCTCTCCCCCCCCCTCCCTCCCCCCCTCTCTCTCCTCTCTGACCCATATGAAGTTAAACCACATTTGTCTCCCTCTGACAGATGTTGTGTTTTTCATTTTGTTGAACTTGTCTGTGATTATTATTTTTGCTCCGTCTTTCAGATGTTTTTCCCGCCTCTGAAATCTGTGAAGTAGAGATTTTAATTGTATCAAGAGAAGACAGAGTTGTTTGTAGTAACAGAAGGTCAGGAGTGAGCACCTCCTGCTGAGGAGGAGTCGAAGGAAAGGTTTGGAAGAAAAAATAAGTAATTTTAGATCCACATAAAGTTCTTCTTCAGTCGTTCAGAAGAGATTCTGAAACGAAACGTGTTAAATATTTGGAAAGGAATAAAAAAAACTATTTTTACCTCCAGGTGAAAGACAGAACCTGTCAGACGTTAAAGTGGTTCTCACCCCCGCTCCTCGGAGCTTACGTCACTCACATTTCCTGTTCAAATCTTCCTCTAAATGGGCGTGGCCTGGAGGACTAAAGGGGGCGTGAACGAGACTGGGCCGTTTACATTGCTTTGGGCGGGGGGCTGCTGACGTCAGGTCTTGCTTCAGACGTCAGGTCTTGCTTCAGACGTCAGGTCTTGCTGCCGCGCCAATGTTGGCGCCAGATTCAAAATTCAAATGTAGTAACACAGGTCGTCAGCAGATGGCGCCTCACAGACGGTTTTAGGCAGAAAGTTTAACTTTCAACTAATTTGCACCAAAGTGACAAAATTATGACCAGGATATGTAGACAACACTATTGGACAATCATTTAAATCGTTTATTTGCAAAAAACAGTAGATTTGAGGGTGAGTTGTCCTTTAAAACCTAAGAGAGGGCGGCAGACCCCTCAGGTCTCTCTCTGGTCTCTCTCTGGTCTCTCTCTGGTCTCTATCTGGTCTCTATCTGGTCTCTCTCTGGTTTCTCTCTGGTCTCTCTCTGGTTTCTCTCTGGTCTCTCTCTGGTTTCTCTCTGGTCTCTCTCTGGTTTCTCTCTGGTCTCTCTCTCTGGTCTCTCTCTGGTCTCTCTCTGGTCTCTCTCTCTGGTCTCTCTCTGGTCTCTCTCTGGTCTCTCTTTGGTCTCTCTGGTCTCTCTCTGGTCTCTCTCTGGTCTCTCTCTGGTCTCTCTCTGGTCTCTCTCTGGGTCTCTCTCTGGTCTCTCTCTGGTCTCTCTCTGTGGTCTCTCTCTGTGGTCTCTCTCTGGTCTCTCTCTGGTCTCTCTCTGGTCTCTCTCTCTGGTCTCTCTCTCTGGTCTCTCACTGGTCTCTCTCTGGTCTCTCTCTCTGGTCTCTCTCTGGTCTCTCTGGTCTCTCTCTGGTCTCTCTCTCTGGTCTCTCTAGGGTCTCTCTATGGTCTCTCTCTGGTCTCTCTCTGGTCTCTCTCTGGTCTCTCTCTCTGGTCTCTCTAGGGTCTCTCTCTGGTCTCTCTCTGGTCTATATCTGATCTATATCTGGTCTATATCTGATCTATATCTGGTCTCTCTCTGGTCTCTCTCTGGTCTCTCTCTGGTCTCTCTCTGGTCTCTCTCTGGTCTCTCTCTGGTCTCTCTCTGGTCTCTCTCTCTGGTCTCTCTTTCTGGTCTCTCTAGGGTCTCTCTCTGGTCTCTCTCTGGTCTATATCTGATCTATATCTGGTCTCTCTCTGGTCTCTCTCTGGTCTCTCTCTGGTCTCTCTCTGGTCTCTCTCTGGTCTCTCTCTGGTCTCTCTCTCTGGTCTCTCTTTCTGGTCTCTCTAGGGTCTCTCTCTGGTCTCTCTCTGGTCTATATCTGATCTATATCTGGTCTCTCTCTGGTCTCTCTCTGGTCTCTCTCTGGTCTCTCTCTGGTCTCTCTCTGTGGTCTCTCTCTGTGGTCTCTCTCTGGTCTCTCTCTGGTCTCTCTCTGGTCTCTCTCTGGTCTCTCTCTGGTCTCTCTCTGGTCTCTCTCTGGTCTCTCTCTCTGGTCTCTCTAGGGTCTCTCTATGGTCTCTCTCTGGTCTCTCTCTGGTCTCTCTCTGGTCTCTCTCTGGTCTCTCTCTGGTCTCTCTCTCTGGTCTCTCACTGGTCTCTCTCTGGTCTCTCTCTCTGGTCTCTCTCTGGTCTCTCTGGTCTCTCTCTGGTCTCTCTCTCTGGTCTCTCTAGGGTCTCTCTATGGTCTCTCTCTGGTCTCTCTCTGGTCTCTCTCTGGTCTCTCTCTGGTCTCTCTCTGGTCTCTCTCTGGTCTCTCTCTCTGGTCTCTCTAGGGTCTCTCTCTGGTCTCTCTCTGGTCTATATCTGATCTATATCTGGTCTATATCTGATCTATATCTGGTCTCTCTCTGGTCTCTCTCTGGTCTCTCTCTGGTCTCTCTCTGGTCTCTCTCTGGTCTCTCTCTGGTCTCTCTCTGGTCTCTCTCTGGTCTCTCTCTCTGGTCTCTCTTTCTGGTCTCTCTAGGGTCTCTCTGGTCTCTCTCTGGTCTATATCTGATCTATATCTGGTCTCTCTCTGGTCTCTCTCTGGTCTCTCTCTGGTCTCTCTCTGGTCTCTCTCTGGTCTCTCTCTGGTCTCTCTCTGGTCTCTCTCTGGTCTCTCTCTGGTCTCTCTCTCTGGTCTCTCTAGGGTCTCTCTCTGGTCTCTCTCTGGTCTATATCTGATCTATATCTGGTCTATATCTGATCTATATCTGGTCTCTCTCTGGTCTCTCTCTGGTCTCTCTCTGGTCTCTCTCTGGTCTCTCTCTGGTCTCTCTCTGGTCTCTCTCTGGTCTCTCTCTGGTCTCTCCCTCTGGTCTCTCTCTCTGGTCTCTCTAGGGTCTCTCTCTGGTCTCTCTCTGGTCTATATCTGATCTATCTCTGGTCTCTCTCTGGTCTCTCTCTGGTCTCTCTCTGGTCTCTCTAGGGTCTCTCTCTGGTCTCTCTCTGGTCTCTCTCTGGTCTCTCTCTGGTCTCTCTCTGGTCTCTCTCTGGTCTCTCTCTGGTCTCTCTCTGGTCTCTCTCTCTGGTCTCTCTCTCTGGTCTCTCTAGGGTCTCTCTCTGGTCTCTCTCTGGTCTATATCTGATCTATATCTGGTCTCTCTCTGGTCTCTCTCTGGTCTCTCTCTGGTCTCTCTCTGGTCTCTCTCTGGTCTCTCTCTGGTCTCTCTCTGGTCTCTCTAGGGTCTCTCTCTGGTCTCTCTCTGGTCTCTCTCTGGTCTCTCTCTGGTCTCTCTCTGGTCTCTCTCTGGTCTCTCTCTGGTCTCTCTCTGGTCTCTCTCTGGTCTCTCTCTGGTCTCTCTCTCTGGTCTCTCTTTCTGGTCTCTCTAGGGTCTCTCTGGTCTCTCTCTGGTCTATATCTGATCTATATCTGGTCTCTCTCTGGTCTCTCTCTGGTCTCTCTCTGGTCTCTCTCTGGTCTCTCTCTGGTCTCTCTCTGGTCTCTCTCTGGTCTCTCTCTGGTCTCTCTCTGGTCTCTCTCTGGTCTCTCTCTCTGGTCTCTCTAGGGTCTCTCTCTGGTCTCTCTCTGGTCTATATCTGATCTATATCTGGTCTATATCTGATCTATATCTGGTCTCTCTCTGGTCTCTCTCTGGTCTCTCTCTGGTCTCTCTTCTGGTCTCTCTCTGGTCTCTCTCTGGTCTCTCTCTGGTCTCTCTCTGGTCTCTCCCTCTGGTCTCTCTCTCTGGTCTCTCTAGGGTCTCTCTCTGGTCTCTCTCTGGTCTATATCTGATCTATATCTGGTCTCTCTCTGGTCTCTCTCTGGTCTCTCTCTGGTCTCTCTAGGGTCTCTCTCTGGTCTCTCTCTGGTCTCTCTCTGGTCTCTCTCTGGTCTCTCTCTGGTCTCTCTCTGGTCTCTCTCTGGTCTCTCTCTGGTCTCTCTCTCTGGTCTCTCTCTCTGGTCTCTCTAGGGTCTCTCTCTGGTCTCTCTCTGGTCTATATCTGATCTATATCTGGTCTCTCTCTGGTCTCTCTCTGGTCTCTCTCTGGTCTCTCTAGGGTCTCTCTCTGGTCTCTCTCTGGTCTCTCTCTGGTCTCTCTCTGGTCTCTCTCTGGTCTCTCTCTGGTCTCTCTCTGGTCTCTCTCTGGTCTCTCTCTGGTCTCTCTCTGGTCTCTCTCTGGTCTCTCTCTGGTCTCTCTCTGGTCTCTCTCTGGTCTCTCTCTGGTCTCTCTCTGGTCTCTCTCTGGTTCTCTGACATGTCATATCTCCGTCTAACACGTGTCTGAACATGACCTATTAACGTCTCCTGCGAGCGCTCGCCACACGCTGACTCTTCACTTTACAAATAACAAATGTTTTTCTCCCGTTCGTTCACAGCCACTCGCAAACAACAAGCAGACCATGAAGCAGACCATGAAGCAGACCATGAAGCAGACCATGAAGCAGACCATGAGGCAGACCATGACAGCGGCCGCCACCCTCTGTGCTCTGCTCTGGGTGCGGCTCTCTGCAGGTGAGACTGAAGATTATATTTACTTTAGAATGTTCTGGAAACTGCAGCGAGTCCTGAGTGTCTCTGAAACAGACCAGAGCAGAGAGGATTCATGGTTTTACACTGGTCCAGACCAGAGCAGAGAGGATTCATGGTTTTACACTGGTCCAGACCAGAGCAGAGAGGATTCATGGTTTTACACTGGTCCAGACCAGAGCAGAGAGGATTCATGGTTTTACACTGGTCCAGACCAGAGCAGAGAGGATTCATGGTTTTACACTGGTCCAGACCAGAGCAGAGAGGATTCATGGTTTTACACTGGTCCAGACCAGAGCAGAGACATTGGTCTGAACCGAGCGGCTGCTGCTGTGTTATTACTATTGTAGATTTTTAGAATAATCTATTTATTAGTTTTGTTTGTTTGGATGGATGTGTTTTGCTGCTGCTGGACACCTGCATGTCTCCAACAGGACCAGTAAAGTACAGTGTAGTGCAGTATTCGGCCCCCTTGAACCTTTCAACATTTCGCCACATTTCAGGCTTCAAACATAAAGATATCAAATTTTGGATGAACTGCAGATAACTACAGCTGAGGTGGGAGAGTCTGTCCATAGGACAACAATCAGTCGTGCACTGCACAAATCTGGCCTTTATGGAAGAGTGGCAAGAAGAAAGCCATTTCTCAAAGATATCCATAAAAAGTCTCGTTTAAAGTTTGCCACAAGCCACCTGGGAGACACACCAAACATGTGGAAGAAGGTGCTCTGGTCAGATGAAACCAAAATCAAACTTTTTGGCCACAATGCAAAACGATATGTTTGGCGTAAAAGCAACACAGCTTTTACGCAGCAAATTTCGTTCCACTTCACGATTGTGTCCCACTTGTTGTTGATTCATGACAAAAAATTAAAATGTTATATCTTTATGTTTGAAGCCTGAAATGTGGCAAAATGTTGAATAGGTATCTAACTATCTTTCATGGTCCAATCAGTGTTGCCCAGGGCGACCCGGGTGTTGTTCCTTGTGGATGCAGGAGGGTCTTGTTGGACAGTTAGTGTCCAACAGAAAGGATTGGTGATGATCAGGACACTTTAGCATTCTACAACATGTATGGACATTTTCTTCTGTGTGTGCTTTATATTCTTCATGTGTTTTAACTGTTGATTCTCTGACCTGTGTTGGTGATTTCAATGGTTTTGTTAAGTCTCTGAGATGACTTCTGTTGTGACCTAGGGCTATACAAGAATACATTGTATTGTATTGTATTGTATTGTATTGTATTGTATTGTATTGTATTGTATTGTATTGTATTGTATTGTATTGTATTGTATTGTATTGTATTGTATTGTATTGTATTGTATTGTATTGTATTGTGTTGTATTGTATTGTATTGTATTGTATTGTATTGTATTGTATTGTATTGTATTGTATTGTATTGTACTGTGTGGGACTCTGTGGGACACAGTAATATGCTACACACTGTTCCTGTAAACATCAAACCATTCCACATCAGTAACTGCACATTCACTTTACCTGTGTCCCTATTGTGCAGGTGTGAGAGCGCCCCCTGCTGGACTGGGGGTCACACAGTCTCCTCCACGTCTGTCTGTGATGAGGGGAGAGTCCGTCACTCTGTCCTGTCTCTACAACCATCAGTCCCGGAGTTTCGGGGTCCACTGGTTCAGACTGGACTCTCTGGGCCGGCGCCACGACCTCCCGCCTCAGCCCAGAACAAACCGAAGCTCATCTCTGCTGATCCCCGACACCACGCCACAGGATTCTGGGACGTATCACTGCGAGGTGCATCGCAGAGTCCAGGGCAACGAGCAAACCATGGAGCGCGGCAACGGAACCCTGCTCACGGTGATGGGTGAGTCCTGGAGGCTGCTCAGTGCGGTTTGGGAAAGACGTGAGAGTTACGTAAAGAATGTATAGAACACAGGTCAAAATGAGAATCGACCCAGACGAGGAGGGGTCTGCGCCCGTCCTGGAGGTTCTTATTTATATGAAACTGTTCCCGTTGAAGCTGCAGTTGGCTGAGGAGGTGCTGTGTCTCTGGGTAAGTGGGAAGTCGGACTCTCGTTAACCTCAGGGACAGAAGCTCTTTGACGAAGTGGCCAGACGTCTTGCCCGTTGGCAACTCAATTACATGGAAAATTGCGTTGCCAATGGGCAGCGGTCATTATCAGTTGTATAAGTGCCACAGAAGAAGAAGAAGAAGGTCCTTTATTCGTCTCAGTGGGGACATTTCAGTTTGATGAACACACAAACACACATCAAGGCAGCGGCGAACATCACTTCCGCGCTCCTTAAAGACAAAGTCCCGAGGACACAACCACAGCAGACATCAGTGTGTGTCGGTGGATTTGAACCCACAACCTTATCCTGCCTGAGGCCTCAAAGGCCAATGCTCCACAACAGAGCGACTGTCGCCTCAGCAGCAAGTGTCTGTTTCTGCTCCCCCTGCACCTCCATGACACCTCCTCCTCCTCCTCTTCCTCCTGTTTCAGCGTGTCTTTCCTCCTCCTCCTCCTCCTCCTCCTCCTCCTCTTCCTCCTGTTTCAGCGTGTCTTTCCTCCTCCTCCTCCTCCTCTTCCTCCTGTTTCAGCGTGTCTTTCCTCTGCCCTTGGAGCCGGAGGAATCCATCAGCTCCAAACCTTAATTGTCGTCCTAGTTCCTCTTTAATGATCTCGACCTAGTTTCAGTTTTAAATGACACTTGTTTATTTTGCTCGCTGCTTTTCTGGTGATGTTGGTGTCGGATCAAACTGAGAGACTTCCTGTCCAGGGATTAGTTTGTCGATAAGTATATTTTAGTGCATTTGCAAAGAGACTGGTGACATTTTTAGATTCATAATTCTGGCTCAAAGTCCTGGGTCTACAGCCTCAGTCCTGGGTCTAGAGCCTCAGTCCTGGGTCTACAGCCTCAGTCTTGGGTCTACAGCCTCAGTCCTGGGTCTACAGCCTCAGTCCTGGGTCTACAGCCTCAGTCCTGGATCTACAGCCTCAGTCCTGGGTCTACAGCCTCAGTCCTGGGTCTACAGCCTCAGTCCGGGGTCTACAGCCTCAGTCCTGGATCTACAGCCTCAGTCCTGGGTCTACAGCCTCAGTCCTGGATCTGTATGGACCAATGCGTTTGTTATTATTGCATTTCTCTGTTGGAATTCTTCTTTTTCTGATCTGCATTGGCGAATCAACAACTTCATAAAGTCCTTCAAAACTACACATCTCCCTGAATTTTTATTAATATAAAAATGTCACCAGTCACTTTGCAAATGTACTAAAATATACTTTACTTACATTTGCTGAGGCTGTAGACCCAGGACTGAGGCTGTAGACCCAGGACTGAGGCTGTAGATCCAGGACTGAGGCTGTAGATCCAGGACTGAGGCTGTAGACCCAGGACTGAGGCTGTAGACCCAGGACTGAAGCTGCAGACCCAGGACTGAGACTCTAGACCAGACTGAAAGTATTTAATTATGTATGACCAATCCTCCACAGAAAGGTTCTATAATAAGTTCTTGAAGGTGACTTTCCCCATGACCCAAAGGGAAGAGAACATAATTAAAATAAATTATTGTAATCAATTATAGTTCAGGCTCTGATTTACATCTGAAGATTAACGACCGAGGTTTATTCTATAACAACAAGAAACTAACTATATTTACATTTTCTTTGCTTTAAAGACAGTGGAGGATTTACTGAAGGACTTTGTTTCTTTCATAAAATCAATGTCATAAAAATACATCGAGAAAGATGCATTTTACTGTTGCTGTCGCCTCCCACAGATCTGACCTGTAATCATTATTATTATTATTGTTATTATTAGTATTACTATTATTACTATTATTATTATTATTATTACTATTTTTACTATTATTACTATTGTTATTATTAATAATAATAATATTATTATTACTATTATTATTGTTAATATTAATATTACTAGTATTACTATTATTATTATTATTATTATTATTATTATATTATTATTATTATTATTAATATGATTACTATTATCATTATTATTATTATTATTATTATTATTACGATTATTATTATTATTATTATTATTATTATTACTATTATTATTACTATTATTATTATCAGTGTCTCTGAGGAGCACAGGGACTGGCCTCCTGCTGGGACTCTGAGGAGCACAGGGACTGGCCTCCTGCTGGGACTCTGAGGAGCACAGGGACTGGCCTCCTGCTGGGACTCTGAGGAGCACAGGGACTGGCTTCCTGCTGGGACTGAGGAGCACAGGGACTGGCCTCCTGCTGGGACTCTGAGGAGCACAGGGACTGGCCTCCTGCTGGGACTCTGAGGAGCACAGGGACTGGCCTCCTGCTGGGACTCTGAGGAGCACAGGGATCTGGCCTCCTGCTGGGACTCTGAGGAGCACAGGGACTGGCCTCCTGCTGGGACTCTGAGGAGCACAGGGACTGGACTCCTGCTGGGACTCTGAAGAGCACAGGGACTGGCCTCCTGCTGGGACTCTGATGAGCACAGGGACTGGCCTCCTGCTGGGACTCTGAGGAGCACAGGGACTGGACTCCTGCTGGGACTCTGAGGAGCACAGGGACTGACCTCCTGCTGGGACTCGGAGGAGCACAGGGACTGGCCTCCTGCTGGGACTCTGAGGAGCACAGGGACTGGACCTCCTGCTGGGAGTCGGAGGAGCACAGGGACTGGCCTCCTGCTGGGACTCTGAGGAGCACAGGGACTGGCCTCCTGCTGGGACTCTGAGGAGCACAGAGACTGGCCTCCTGCTGGGACTCTGAGGAGCACAGGGACTGGGCTCCTGCTGGGACTCTGAGGAGCACAGGGACTGGACTCCTGCTGGGACTCTGAGGAGCACAGGGACTGACCTCCTGCTGGGACTCGGAGGAGCACAGGGACTGGCCTCCTGCTGGGACTCTGAGGAGCACAGGGACTGACCTCCTGCTGGGACTCGGAGGAGCACAGGGACTGGCCTCCTGCTGGGACTCTGAGGAGCACAGGGACTGGCCTCCTGCTGGGACTCTGAGGAGCACAGGGACTGGCCTCCTGCTGAGACTCAGAGGAGCACAGGGACTGGCCTCCTGCTGGGACTCTGAGGAGCACAGGGACTGGCCTCCTGCTGGGATTCTGAGGAGCACAGGGACTGGCCTCCTGCTGGGACTCTGAGGAGCACAGGGACTGGCCTCCTGCTGGGACTCTGAGGAGCACAGGGACTGGCCTCCTGCTGGGACTCTGAGGAGCACAGGGACTGGACTCCTGCTGGGACTCTGAAGGAACACAGGGACTGGCCTCCTGCTGGGACTCTGAGGAGCACAGGGACTGGACTCCTGCTGGGACTCTGAGGAGCACAGGGACTGACTCCCTGCTGGGACTCGGAGGAGCACAGGGACTGGCCTCCTGCTGGGACTCTGAGGAGCACAGGGACTGACCTCCTGCTGGGACTCTGAGGAGCACAGGGACTGGCCTCCTGCTGGGACTCTGAGGAGCACAGGGACTGGCCTCCTGCTGGGACTCTGAGGAGCACAGGGACTGGCCTCCTGCTGAGACTCAGAGGAGCACAGGGACTGGCCTCCTGCTGGGACTCTGAGGAGCACAGGGACTGGCCTCCTGCTGGGATTCTGAGGAGCACAGGGACTGGCCTCCTGCTGGGACTCTGAGGAGCACAGGGACTGGCCTCCTGCTGGGACTCTGAGGAGCACAGGGACTGGCCTCCTGCTGGGACTCTGAGGAGCACAGGGACTGGACTCCTGCTGGGACTCTGAGAACACAGGGACTGGCCTCCTGCTGGGACTCTGAGGAGCACAGGGACTGGACTCCTGCTGGGACTCTGAGGAGCACAGGGACTGACCTCCTGCTGGGACTCGGAGGAGCACAGGGACTGGCCTCCTGCTGGGACTCTGAGGAGCACAGGGACTGACCTCCTGCTGGGACTCGGAGGAGCACAGGGACTGGCCTCCTGCTGGGACTCTGAGGAGCACAGGGACTGGCCTCCTGCTGGGACTCTGAGGAGCACAGGGACTGGCCTCCTGCTGAGACTCAGAGGAGCACAGGGACTGGCCTCCTGCTGGGACTCTGAGGAGCACAGGGACTGGCCTCCTGCTGGGACTCTGAGGAGCACAGGGACTGGCCTCCTGCTGGGACTCTGAGGAGCACAGGGACTGGCCTCCTGCTGGGACTCTGAGGAGCACAGGGACTGGCCTCCTGCTGGGACTCTGAGGAGCACAGGGACTGGACTCCTGCTGGGACTCTGAGGAGCACAGGGACTGGCCTCCTGCTGGGACTCTGAGGAGCACAGGGACTGGACTCCTGCTGGGACTCTGAGGAGCACAGGGACTGGACTCCTGCTGGGACTCTGAGACCAACAGGAGTCCAGTCCCTGTGCTCCTCAGAGTCAGAACTAAACATGAGGAGGCTGCATCTCAGATTCATGCTGCATGCTCCCTCATCAAGAAGGCCCAGCAGAGGATGTACTTCCTGCGGCAGCTCAGGAAAGCCAAGCTGCCTGCACAGATGTTGTTGCAGTTCTACACGGCCCATCATCGAGTCCATCCTCACCTCCTCCATCACCTCCTCCATCACCTCCTCCACCACCTCCTCCATCACCTCCTCCATCACCTCCTCCATCACCTCCTCCATCACCTCCTCCATCACCTCCTCCACCACCTCCTCCATCACCTCCTCCATCACCTCCTCCATCACCTCCTCCATCACCTCCTCCACCACCTCCTCCATCACCTCCTCCATCACCTCCTCCGTCACCGTGTGGTTCGCTGGAGCCACAGTCAGGGACAAACAGAGACTACAGTGCATTGTGCGCTCTGCAGAGGAAGTGATCGGCCGCAGCCTTCCATCGCTGCAGGACCTGTACGTCGCCCGAGCTCGAGGCCGGGCTGGTCGTATCACAGCCGACCCCTCTCACCTGCACATGGACTATTCCAACCACTCCCCTCTCACCTGCACATGGACTATTCCAACCACTCCCCTCTCACCTGCACATGGACTATTCCAACCACTCCCCTCTCACCTGCACATGGACTATTCCAACCACTCCCCTCTCACCTGCACATGGACTATTCCAACCACTCCCCTCTCACCTGCACATGGACTATTCCAACCACTCCCCTCTCACCTGCACATGGACTATTCCATCCACTCCCCTCAGGCAGGAGGCTGCGGTCCATCAGGACTAGAACCTCCCGCCACAAGAACAGTTTCTTCCCCTCTGCTGTTGGACTCTTGAACACTTCTTAACCTGTCCCCCCGCCCTTTATAAAGTCACTTTACTGCCCATCATACGTCACTTTACTTCACTGTACTGCTGTCACCTTACATTGTGTGCACCATGTGCACTTGTATATTGTAAATAGTAACTGTAACTCTATTTTAAATTTAAATTTATTCTTTAGAAGTGTTTTTTATTCTTATTTTTATTATCTCTTTTTGACTGTTGCACTGAGCCAAAGCAATTTCCAAGTCTGTGACCTCCTGTTACTTACGTGGCAATAAAAATGATTCTGATTCTGATTCTGATTCTGAAAAATCTGGAACAGTCTTCCTGAAGATGTGAGACAGTCTTCTCTGACCACGTCTAAGTCCAGGGTTAACTGAAGGACTGTATCTTTACTCTTTTTAATGTTCTGTGCCTATTTATTTTAATGCCTGCTTTTGTACGGCCTTTGAGTTGTGTCTTGTGCTATACAAATAATCATTCTGAGACCTGTACAGTCTTAGATCAGGGCCTTCGGAATCCTTCAAAAGAACCCAAAACATGTATTTACATTATTTCCAACAGTATTTTCAACTATTTTCTGTCTCCTCCAAAGTGAATCCATCCAACATCTCTCTCCATTAATCCACATTCCCTGTACTTTTACTCTTCTCAGTTACTATTACTTTTGCCTAAATATATCTTTCTTTGACCTAATGAAAGTGGTGATTTTTGTGTCCCCTGCAGCCCCCCCCTCGCCCCCCCGGCTGTACCTGCAGAGCTCAGACCCAGACCGAGACCAGTCCTCCCTGGTCTGTGTCACATGGGGCTTCTACCCGAGTGACATCATCCTCTACTGGACCAATCAGAGCGCAGCGAGCTCCATCGACCAGCCGTCAATCTACAACTGCACCCTCACCTCCTCCACCTCTTCCACCTCCATCACCTCCATCACCTCCACCTCCTCCACCTCCTCCACCTCCTCCACCTCCTCCACCTCTTCCACCTCCATCACCTCCACCTCCTCCACCTCCTCCACCTCCTCCACCTCCTCCACCTCCCAGGGTCCTCAGTGTGTGCGGTTGGTAGATGAGGGAAGCAGTCGAGTGTATTTGTTCAGTTTGCTTGCTCTGCCGGAGAGAGAGCGGTTGGAGACGGCGGTGACCTACGGCTGTGTGGTGGAGGGACATCCCGCCATGACCCACGCCATGACCACGGCCTTCACATGGGGTAAGAACATACACAGTGAATATTAACATAGTCACGCCTAACTCTGCTGTGGAAGCTAATGTGACATCATGTTTGCCTTCTGTGGCTTTTGCAAAATGGCCGCCGGGATGGAAAATTTGAGAAACGAGTGCATTCAAAAGTCCACAGCAACTAAACTAGACTGGTCTGAAAACACATACTCCCCTCAACAATGACAGCATCTGGAACCAAGAGTACCGAGAACCACTTTTGGACCGAGAACCACTTTTGGACCGAGAACCACTTTTGGACCGAGAACCACTTTTGGACCGAGAACCACTTTTGGACCGAGAACCACTTTTGGACCGAGAACCACTTTTGGACCAAGAACCACTTTTGGACCAAGAACCACTTTTGGACCGAGAACCACTTTTGGACCAAGAACCACTTTTGGACCGAGAACCACTTTTGGACCAAGAACCACTTTTGGACCGAGAACCACTTTTGGACCGAGAACCACTTTTGGACCAAGAACCACTTTTGGACCAAGAACCACTTTTGGACCGAGAACCACTTTTGGACCGAGAACCACTTTTGGACCAAGAACCACTTTTGGACCGAGAACCACTTTTGGACCGAGAACCACTTTTGGACCGAGAACCACTTTTGGACCAAGAACCACTTTTGGACCAAGAACCACTTTTGGACCGAGAACCACTTTTGGACCGAGAACCACTTTTGGACCAAGAACCACTTTTGGACCAAGAACCACTTTTGGACCGAGAACCACTTTTGGACCGAGAACCACTTTTGGACCGAGAACCACTTTTGGACCAAGAACCACTTTTGGACCATCTTGTGAAGCCGTTTTCCTGAAGAGAAAAGGTGTCGTAAGAATACACAGGGTAATTCTCTTTCCGGGTACACCCCCCCAGCATGGAGTGAGATTACAGCATGACAGTACACGTGCTCATGGACCTTTTAGAGCCGGGACCCGCCCACTCTGGGTCAGACGGGAACCGTGACCAAAAGGAGAAGCTGAGACAGTGTTGAAGTGGTCAAACTGATGCGAAATGAGAAGTCCCCACATTTCACATTTCAGATTATTGTAGATTTATTTTAGTTTTACGCACAACTACACTGCAAAAAGGGAGAGGAATGAGTCAGAAATGGCTCAAATGTTAACTGCCTGAGCTGAAATATCCACACTCGGGACAAAAAAGGACCCCATAAATTCATTTGCGTTCATTTTAGTTTTTGTACAGCCCTAAAGCTTGTCTTGATCTCACAAAGTTATGAATTCTACAGCACAGATCAGAGAATCAAACAAAACGCCTGCCCCTGATGAGAAACATGAGGACTACACTGGGAAAAATCACTTGGAGAAAAATTAAAATGAGTAAAAAAACTGCTTAAAATAATAATAAAAAATGATCTGCCAATAAAACAAGAAAATATGACTTTAGATTTCTGAAAATAATAAAATAAAACTCGCCCCAAACGACAACATTTCAAGTATTATGCACATTTTTCTCAAACTTATTTAATCTAAACCAGAAAAGTCTGGATAGAAGAAAAAATAATTTAAAAAACAAGTTTAAAAACGCACTAATCAGACTTTTTTCTCTGCGATTATGAAGTTTTATTTTCTTAAAACTATTGAAATAATCTTTTGACAAACTACAGTCAAGCAACAAACAAAATAAGCGTCATTTATGTTATTTTTAGTGAATAAATCTGAGCAAGATTTTCCTTTTTCAGAGCAAACACGTGTTTATTCAGTATTTTCACTGCAAAAAGTGATGAAAAATAAGTAAAACATTTCTCAAATTTGGCAAAATGTGTCTAAATCCGACACATTCTGACTGAGCCTTTAAACCAGATTCTTCGATAGGACAAAGCAAAATGATACAGACATGTCTCCTTTGAATGAAGTCTGTGATCCGGGCGCCAGAACTCACCGTGTGGAGCTAATCTCACTGGTAAAGTAC